CACTGCTCAGTGTGAGGGGAAAACAGTGGAAAGCCCACAGGTGAAGTCTCAGTGGAGGTTTCTGCTGAGAGCCTGCAGCCTCACCTGTCCCACATCCTGACACACAACACCACACAGGGACAGGTGATAGGACTCTATTTAGTGCTCTATTTTATCCATTTTTTTCCCTTTTAGAAAGCAGCCTCTGTGAATGTAGTCGGTCTGGAGATGAAACTGACATCAGCGGTTAGCTGAAAGTCTCGGAGGGATCCGGAGTGAGTGAGAGAGAGATAAGGGTTGCGTGTCATGGTTGAGCTGGTGTGTGCATATACGGGTGTGTAGATACTGGCCTTTTTTCCTGAGGAAGACCCTGTAAAACTCAGATATCTTTTGGTTATTGTATCTCAGAGCTGCTGACGGGGCAGAATACGACTTCTTTGCAAAGCTTTCTGGGAAAATCTTCTCAGTTGTGGCACTGTTGATAAAATGAGACATCATAAACACTGTTTAACTCAAATATTTACGATGCTGTCACATGTTTTTTGCGATATCCTGCAGAGAAATACATGATATGTTGCTTTTGAAGAAGATATTTGGGAGTAGAGTGATGTCTTCACCTGCCTGTGACAGATTATATTAAAACCAAGGAATAAAACGTGCCAGGAAGGCTTCCCATTAAAGCCTCTGAGCTTTACAAACACAGCTCCATTCTGCTCTTCATCCTTCAGCCTTATTTCTTTTGTTTTGTTGGACTACAGAGGTTTTTTCTGCGATGATCTGAACTGGGCCCGACTCAAACAAATCCAAAAACTCGCTGGTTCTGGAGGCCACCCCCCGTTCCCTTCGCGTTTGTTTGAAAACCAAATAATTATTAATAATAATAGCTGTACGGAGGTGTCCCGTTGGGTGGCATCCAGCCTGCCCACTTTGATAAGCTGCCCACTTTGATAGCCTTCAATCTGGTCTGATAACTCACAAACACACGTGCCTTTCAGACCCTCTCTTTTCTGCTTTTATCTCCACAAAATAGTTCATTTCCATCTCTTTAAACCATATTTAGTCAGAAGGATGTGTTACTGGCCCGTCCAGCTGAGGAGAAATGTGGACTACACACCATCAGTCTTGGTTGGGGTTTTTATTTGTCTTTATCCACGTTTTTTAAACAGCCTTCTGGTGTCATGTGACCTGTAGCCTCACATGCTCTAGATCAGGGGTGTCAAACTCAAAAACACAGTGGGCCAAAATTTAAAACCTGAACAAACCCGTTGGCCAAGATTGAACATATGAAACTTTTAATATGGAATAAAACAAAGTTTTGCTTTAACATTGAATATGGAACAAACAACTCTTATTATATATAACTTAATAGTGGAGACATGCAAAATCAAATTTCAAATAGAAAAAACACATCAATGGCATTCATTTATGAAATAAGATTTTAAACATTTTTTCTATTTGCAGCCTTCTGAATTAAATATCAAAATGAAATGAGCTTGTCCAGAAAGCTCCTGTTTCTTTCTTTTGGTCATTTTTGGGAAGTTTAGCACAGTGACAGCTGTAGTGTTTCCTACTGTCACAGAGGAGTTTCTGGGTCCTGTCCTGGACAGCAGCAGGGCATTATGGGAGTTGTAGTATGAGCGGTTAATGGTCTGTACAGTAAAATACAGGGGGCCAGCTCTGGTAGTCATTTGGTATTGTCCAAATATTTTGGCCAAATATAATTAAAACGGGCCAGAGTTTGACACACATGTTTAGCTGGATGGAGATAATTGGTCGTCAGGTATCAGGTCGTCATTTTTCTCCAGAGGACGCCCAACACCCCGTCCCAGATTCACCGGCTACCCAGAACCACTTTCTGTCATCACGCTAAAATCAACTCTATTAAATCCTGTTTAATGTGTTTTTCTTTTTAGGAAGCTTTAAGAGGCCAGTGTTTGGAAACAGTGTCAGCGTCACTCTGATTAGTCTGTGTGGAGACGGCTGGTCCCAGATACCGTTTAACAAACAGGGTTTGTCTGGTTTAACCAGGTTAAACCAGGTTTGTATCAGGGCCAAATGGTGAGAAGGCCACATGTTGCCTGAAGATAGACGGATTTTTTGAGTTTTATGAGCAGCTAAAGGGCCAAATCGATCGTTCAGGGATAGGTTGACCGGTTGGTTTCCTGCTCATTTGAATTGTCCTGATGATAACATGTGCAGGTGGGCGTTATTTCTTATCCCTATAATGCCAAATGTGTCATATTTGATCCATACGGTTTCTGAAGGCTTTTGGATCTGAGACTTTTTGCATCATTCAGTGGTAAAAGCTTTGCTCAAACCCCTGTTGTACACATTCAGATACACCTGATAACAGCCAGTAGAAGACTACACCAAAATATATGTTTGACTTATTGCACACTAATTTGATCAAAATAATTTCAGTTTTTTTTTTCTTCATATGTTGTTGAGGGGCCAAAGAAAGACTTCAGACTAAAAAAAATTCTGATATTCTTCCTATTTTTCTTGGATCAGGCTTTAAAGGGTTATAATTAAAGTGGGACGGGATGCTTTGTTGACGTTGGTTTCAGGTGTTTTAAGCCAATCAGCAGGTGAGGGCTCACGCTCTCCTGGCCATAACCCCCCCCCCCCCTCCCCTCCCTTTCTCCTACCCTCTCTGTTTGGAAAACCAATAACTCTGTTGACCAAACACAGCTACACAAACTGATCTTTGGTGGCCTGCTGGTATTTGGAGATGGATTTTTAAATGATTGAAGATGGAGCCGGGAGATGCTGGACTCCTTCTAACGCCTGACCCGGCTGTCCGGGGATTTGCCCTCCTCTGTTCAGGGGGGGGGGGGGGGGGGGGGGCTGTGTTTGCAGAGGACGATCTCTGTAAAGGATAAACGGCTTGTTGTGAGTGACATACACAATCCCACAACCGGTCGGATTTGCTCCTCCGCTGGAATCGAAAGGCTTCGGGAAACTGGATTTCTGATGGACTCCGTTCACTTCACAGGCCGGGGAAGAAAAATCCAATCTGTGTGTTGATTATCTACCTGAAGACCTGATTAGATGTGGATATTCTCTTTAGGGGGAGAGAGCCGGCACACATTTCACCGTCTAATTTTCTTA